TGATTATGATATATATTTTTGTACGCCTAATCGTAGAGTCATTTTAGTCATCGGCTCGCGCCGTTCATCGCCTCGGGTGCTCCAACGTCCCGCATATTAGCCACGCTGCCAGTAAAGTGATACTTGTAGTACCGAGATATTGATTAAACCTGAATTAGAGTGCCGGAAGATGGTCCGCGTCCTCCTAAATAACGTGCACTGCCAGAAAGCGTTGTTAGGGAGGCAACTCACTCATCCTGCTCTTCCTTTTCCAGATCCTTTATCTTACCGTGCTCGATTCCCCGGATTGGCCCGGCGCTCCCCGTGTAACCAATCTCTTCCTGTATATTCTAACCTCCCAACGATATCTTCTTCGGTGGAATCGGTCGCTGTTACTCCAGCCCAATCGGCCGGCATTGACTTCGGCACAGAAACGATGATTAGAATTCCGCAGTACTGCGCGAAAGCCTGTACCCATTTCCGGGATCCGGCCGCAATCTTGCCTGTCCTTTTCGTATCTCGATATCGCGGCCATAAAATCCGGGGACCCGGTGTCGCGAATGAAACGAATAAATAAATTTTTTTATTAGCCAAGGGCCCATTTGCTCGCCACGGTCCGCCGTTCCAAGGAAATCGAATCCGGGAACGGGGAGCGTAATCGCGATTCCACGGTGTGTTCCCGGCGAACTCTCGCGAGGACGTTTTCGGCTGTAACTCTCGCGCTCTCTTCCCCTCTCTCTCTCTCTCCCTCTTTTCCTCCCTACTCCTCAACCAGCGGAGAACAGAAAGCAATATCGTTTCGCTGCCGCTCAAATATCGGAAAACCGGCCCAATATCGAAATTTTGATGAAGGGTAACTTCGCCGAGCTACGGTTATGCGATACTCGCGTCTTCGAAGTTCAAGCTACTCTCCATCTTTCGTTTCCTTTGCTCGTTCTCTCTTCCGCGCGCTCTCTTTCTCTCACAAGCTTCTCTTCCGCTCTCTCTCTCCTGCTCTCACTCTCTCGCTCTCTCTCCCGCACTCTTGCTCTCTCTCTCTCCCGCTCTCTCTTGCACTCTCTCTCGCTCTCCCGCTCTCTAACCCGCTCTCTCTTACTCTCTCTCCTGCTCTCTCTCGCTCTCTCTCCCGCTCTCTCTTGCTCACTCTCTCTCTCTCTCTCACGCTCTTTCTCTTGCTCTATCTCTCCCGCACTCTTGCTCTCTCTCTCTCACTCCCGCACTCTTGCTCTCCCACCCTCTCTCTCTCTCTCTTGCTCTCTCTCTCCTGTTCTCTCTCGCTCTCTCACTCTCTCTCTCTCTTGCTCTCTCTCCCGCTCTCTCTCGCTTTCTCTCTCTCCCGCTCTCTCTCTCGCTTTCTCTCCCGCTCTCTCTCTCTCTCTTGCTCTCTCAATCCCGCTCTCTTCCGCTCTCTTTACCTTACTCTCTCTCTCTCTCCCACTTTCTCTCTCTCTCCAGCTTCTTCTCTTTTTCTCTCCCTCTCCCCTCCCTCGCTCTCTCTCACTTTTCCTTAGCCCCTGAAACAAGTATTTCAAATGGCAAGACGATTTCCCGACGTGGAACAACCACGATTCTTCGCTGGAATGCGTTCCAGCGCAATTCTCGCAGCACGTAAAATCACCGATTCGCAGACACGAGAACGCCGCGGTGAACTCCCGCGGACCTGATTCTCACCGTACGCGCCCACTATCGTTCTTGTCCATTCCTACGCGTCGCACTTATCCGTACGAGTCATCGTTTTTCCATATTGCATGCGACGATTCCTACGGGAATCTCTGTCGTTACTAATTATTGGACTTTAAATTTTCCGCGGTCTATCCTAACGTACACATGGCGAATGCTGTGTGGTACGATACCGAAATCTGTACAAAAGGAAAATAAATATGTAAACGGGCACGTGAGTCATGAATAAGTCGCAGAAAATCTGTCTCCTTTTTCTTCTAAAAACCACATAATAATTTATTGTTGTATGTATATAAACGTATGAATGATAACATGGTTAATATCGTAAAATTAACTTATCCAAATTAATAGTTATCAACACTAGATTTACGGAGCACAAAAAACAGCTGTTTTATAGTAGTTTATAGAAGTAACAATAAGACATTTATTCTGATTTTTCACAAGTGTTATTGTAACATTTGCCGTAAGTAACATATAAATTGAATAAATAACTCATAAATAAAAAAATTAGTGTTAAGGTAATTAGCGTTAAAACAAGTGTAGTAAATCTAGTGTTAAGATTGTAACTTTATCTTGAGGGGTTTATTTTAGGGCCTTAATTTCGAGAACTAAACCCACAAAGCCAATCGCAACGACCGATTCTTAATAATTTTTTATTTTAAAACTTTCATAGAAAACCATCGAATCAACATCTCAATCCGGAGCATACATTGTAATAAAAATGGTGAAAAGTCTCAATATATATCCAGTCTTATCATTCTCCTAAAGCAACGCACATTAGTCTCACCTTCGGTCTTAATATCGACAATCCTCTACACACCGTCGAACTTTCGACATTCGATACGAGAACACCTCGTACATCCGCTGACAATACGGGAAGATCCATATCCCAATAATCGCAATCACACATCCACTTCCGTTGACGATCCGGATTCACGACTTCTTGTTTTTCCGCGAGGTCGAGACCGCATGGATCGCGAGACAATCCGGTGCGCTGAGACGTGACTAAAAGGAAGAAAGCGGAAGGGAACTCGCAGAGGGTGGCGTTTAAAAGTCGTCCCTGTTAATGGTCCGCCGTTGTTTCCGGATGCCGAGCGATGCGCCACGCCCTCTGCTTATGCATCGAGTGCATCGCGTTCCAAGCCCCTCGCGAGACGTATTCTTACGAGGAGGACACAGTGACACGCGCCGATATCGATCAGACCGTGTCACGGAGCGTGCGGTGCAGAACCTGTGCCCGCCTGCCTGCCTGCCTGCCTGCCTGCCTGCCTGCCTGCCTTCGCAGTCCGCGTGCATTAAACAGCTTTGTTTCGCTTAATTGGATCGACCCAGTTCTTCGCGAACCGATGCCCCGCCGCGATTCATATGCATCCGATGCAACGGGAAATCGCGGGTTCATCGAGCCTGTCAGACAGACGGGACACGAACCGGTTGTATCCGCGATTTCAAAGCCTCCGCGTCCCTTTCGATATTCCGTGTACTCGGGATGCATGATCGGCGGTCGCATGATCTACGACTTTCTTTATGCGGTTTCCGGTACCGTCCACCATCCAGTGGACCGACGTCGATCAAACGGATCCGTCTGTATTTATGCAAAACGGTGCACGACGAAACTGTACGGCTCCTTCGAGAAATTCGCATTTGTAAATGCACGGGGACCGACGAGAATAACTGCAATACATACTGAGACGCGTATTGGTGGCGAGAAATGTACCCGGACACCTTCTGAAACGCGAGAACTTTTTTAAAACTCCGGGCTAAATGGCTTGAACCTCTGTTCTTTTTTCATGTTAATGGGATATTAGTTTGTTGTTCGATGACTGAAATACTTTCTTTCAATTTTGATGTTACTTGGATTTAAGAGAATCGAAGTTGAAGGCTTTGGTTCTTTATTCTTTTTTTCTCTGCAATACAATGGTTAAATAATTGCTGGCGATTGCGAAGTTGAAAAAATTGAAAGAAAATGATATATTTTTAACCTTCTCAACTGAACCTATAACAAAAATTTAAAAAATGCGTTTCATAGATCTCGGTAACTTATAATAAGTTAATCTAATTAGAATGTATTATAATATATAATATTGCATACACTACGTTACAAACAATTAGAGATCGTGAAAGTTGCTGGTCTTTATGGATTTCAATAAAAAATAGATCATTTTTACATGTTTCTATGGCTGTAGCTTCACTAAGCAGCGTTTAAATAAAGAAGCTGACGTTCCAGATGAAATTTAATGGTTTCGAAAGGGGCACATATTCTGATGATACTAGTTCTTCATTAGGTGAACGTGTACAGGATATACGAAGGTCATCGACATTTTTTAAAATGGAATCATATATTTTTTATTAGATCAGTTGATGCATATTAATATTCTTCACAAAAAAGTATTAACCTATTTATGTTGAAAAATCATTAGTTTAGGAGATACATATATTTTAATTTTAATGTTGTGTTAGGAAATTCGCAATGATCGTATACTTATGTAAAACTTTTTATTTATTTATTCTTGAGTGAATGGGCCGGATGCAACACGAATTAAGCAGCATTTCTAGTAAATCTAGCCTCCATATTCGCATTATGGTATTCATAGCTACTGTCTAATATACTACATATCTTGCACGATATATGCATATTTTATTATACAGGATGTCCCAAAATTATGGTATTTCCGGGAAATAAGGGGTTTCTGAGATCATTTGAAGTAACTTTTTCTTTAGCGAAAATATTCTAGGAGGTTTCGTTCACAAGTTATTAACGAAAAACAGTGACCAATGAGAGGCGAGCTCGATTGGCGCGAGGCGGCCGAGCCAACGAGTGGTCAAAGCCCAGATCCGCTGATTGGCTCGGCTCTCTTGCGCCAACCGAGCTCGTCTTTGATTGGTCAGTGTTTTTCGTTAATAACTTATAAACAAAGCCTCGTGGAACATTTTCGTTAAGGAAAAAGTTGCTACAAATGACCCCAGGAACCCCTTATTTCCCGGAAATATCATAATTTTAGGACACCCTGTATATCAGAAAACTGACATGTATGATGTCCTAATTGATGATGTTAAGTCTCATTTCGTAAAATTTTCGTTTAAATCATAGCAATAGAATAATTTAGAACATGATTCGTAACATCAAGTCTCATTTCGTAAAATTTTCGTTTAAATCATAGCAATGGAATAATTTAGAACATGATTCATGACATTTCTTAAATATGAATCATTAACATAGTTCGGAAATGATAATGTCGAAATCGGTGAAGTACTGACTGTAATCAGCAATACCGAGTTCTAACAACGTGGACTGCACTCACTGCCAATCAAATCACAGTGCTCGTTTGTTCTTCACGATTCAGGAACCCGAATATCGCGAAGCGATACCCGTATCTGACGGATGGATTGAAGGAATGGGGCCAGTACGAGATCGAGTGGCCAGAATACGAACCCCGCAACCAGACGTACTTGAATTTGAGTAAGTTCACGTGACATTGCGGTCCATCCTGTAGTTGCTGGCACAGAGTTATCTCCTGAAAACCTGCTAATCAAGCTTTTTCCGAAGAAAAAAAACCGAAACTTTTATTTGCTAAATTCAATTAGAATAACTAGAATATTAAAAGAGTATTAATAGCGTTTATTACATGCACTCAGAATGCTATAAAGATCTCTGCTAGCATGAGCATCCGCAATCCGAAACGAACATACAAAAATTTCGATAGAAAAATTTTTGTCGATATAAATATTTTGCGCACGCCTTTTAAAACGGAACAACTTTCTTAAAATTGGACCAAACGACTCGACATTTTTTTTAGATGTTAGAAAGACTTGTCCGCTAGAAAATGAGTAAACAAATTTTTGCAAATGTTGCAATTGATTGGAATGACGAAAAAAATAAGGTAATCATGATTCTGAACCTTTGAATCCGAGCCCACAACGAAAATGCGTTTTGTAAATCATGGTGGTTAATGTACGAGCAATAAACACTTAAAAATAATCGAAATCGCGATTAGTCAAAATTCCGGGGATTTTTACATCTTTCAATTCAGTTTGCAACAAAACGCAACGTTTAAATATTCGTTACAGCTTCAATTGAAAAAGTTCAAAAACACTATTTTCTATTTTTATTTTCACATGCCAATCGACTGCAATTTTCACAAAAATTCTGTTACTCATTTTCTACAAAACTAGTCGCTCTAAGATCCCAAGAAAATTCAAATATGATCAATTCATTTTTCATATTTCAAATATGAAAATTCAAATATGGTACAATTTTTTTTTATCTCACTCTTTCTTGTTTCCCTCGCTCTCTCTCTCGCCCTCTTTCGCCCTCTCTCATTCTCTCTGGTTTCTCTCTTGCTCTCTCTCCGGCTCTCCCAAGTTCTCTCTCCAAGTTCTCTCTCTCTCTCTCCCGCTCCCTCTCTCTCGCTCTCCTGCTCTCTCGCTCTTCCGCTCTCTCTCGCGCTCCCTCCCGCTCTCTCTCGCTCTCTCTCCCGCTCTCTCTTGCTCTCTCTCTCCCACTCTCTCTTGCTCTCTCGCTCTTCCGCTCTCTCTTGCTCTCTTTCTCTCCCGCTCTCTCTTGCTCTCTTTCTCTCTCCCGCTCCCTCTCTTTCCCGCTCTCTCGCTCTCCCGCTCTCTCTCTCGCTCTCTCTCGCTCTCTCTCGCTCCGGAAAATATTCGTTACAGCTTCAATCGAAAAAGTTCAAAAACACTATTTCCTATTTCTATTTTCTCATACCAATCGACTGCAATTTTCACAAAAATTCTTTTACTCATTTCCTACAAAACTAGTCGCTCCAAGATCCCAAGAAAATTCAAATACGACCAATTCATTTTTCCTATTTCAAATATGAAAATTCAAATATGGTACAATTTGTTCTACCGAGCGCGTGTTCGCGTAAATATTCAAAGAAGTGAAGCAACGAAGAATTTGATTCTCTGCAGATAAGAAACCGCCGAAAGTTGTATTGCTCTTCAAGTTAGTATCGAACCGCTTGCTGATCTCCGAGATTTGAAAATATATAAAAATCCGCGGTCGAGCAATCGCCGGGCCGGGCCGGGCCGAGCAACGAAAGCTAACTGGAATCTCTGATATTTTTATTGTTGGCGTAGCTATTCCACCGTCGATCGGCTCGCGGTATCGTTTAGCGGAGATGCAGTTTTGGAACGAGGACCTGCCGATCCTGCTGCGTCATCCGAACAAAGATAACCCGCTGCAGTTGCCGCCGAGGAGGCCGCGGCCGCCGTTTCTCGACATAGCGGACGGGATTGGAAGGTACGCGAACGCGAGCACCAACAGGAACTACGAGACCTACGGCGTCGGGTCGGTAATGAATCCGAAAGGCGTCGATTTCTGGCTCCTTTCGATTCGTGGACAGATTTAGCCACGCCAAAGGTCTTCGAATCTCTCGGGATCTTTAAATGCTCGTTCGAAACTCGAGGCTGACCAGGGTTTGTATTCTGCTTTCCGCTGCGAATCGCGTCGATTCAAGATGTAGTCGTTCCAGTAAACAAAGACGTCGATACGCTAACAATCTGCACGAGCGTTCAATTTCTGGTTACGTCAGCGACGAGCAGTAAACTCAATGTTATCAACAGGGTGTTGCCTATGGAGTATTTAACAATAGATTTACGGAGCCCGTCAAAATGACGGGTTTATTTTTTAACTTACGATTATTCGTATCGTAAAGATTTATTTATCTTTTTTTAGAATTTATGCAATTTATGTGTTACTTACGGCAAATGTTACGATAACGCTTGTTAAACGTCAGAATAAATGGCTTATTGTTGCTTTTGTAAACTAATATGAAACTAATATAACATAAATTTTTGTGCTGCGTAAATCCAGTGTTAAAAACAGAAAAATTGTCAATTCTCTGGAACTCTTGTATCACGAAAAAACTACTTTTAATAGTAGTTGCTAAAATTAGCACATTCTCGGAGTTGTTGCTAACATTATGACATTTCTGTAGATGATTTTTTAAATTGCAAATTGTACTTTGTTTCACGTTTTAATATTGTTAACGTTGTAATTCTAATTCGTTTTTTTAAAGGTATTATCATATTCGTTTTTTTTTTTAAGTCGACTGCCCTGTAAATGAAAAGCGAGACATTAACTTCGCGATTATCTTAACAAATACCTTAAATATATATATATAAAAAGAAGTTTAAATGCGAGGGAAATGTTAACGATATTTAACGAAAACAGTTATAAATATATGCAAATGCGTTGAGAAATGTGTAAAAAGCGCGACGAAATGCTTTCTATATATTTTTACTCAATTATTATTGCGATAGGTGTTCGGTTAGGTCGATCGAACATTTTTTGCCGGGGCTTAGTAATTTCTCGAGGTGCATCGAGAGCAATTCCAGCCTTCTAAAAAGCCCCGAGAATGCGTTAATTGGAAAATTAAATAGACTCATTTCCGCGTACCTTTATGCAGGCACGCCGGTATTGTTTCACACCGTGGGCAGAATATTTAATGAAATGTCACTTGCACCCCGCTGCATCCAGCCCCCATCCTCCCGCGAATGCTTAACTGTCTGCACGCACCAGTTGAATGGAATTTATTCAAACGTCTGGGCAATGAACTAACAGATTAGCAATTTAGAGTTTCAATTACGCGTACACCTCGTGGCAGACTGTTTCCCTTTCAAAAACTCAATTGCTCTTGCACGATTGTAACCGATGGAAAAGGAAAAAAAGAGAGTACGATCCCCTTTGTTCCAGACCTGAAATTACTGCGCAATCGATAGGGGAGACTAATCGACTTTATATTTCGCTGCACCACGATATTCAGCTCATGAAAGATAATAATTTGCACCTTACTCGTATTACTTCATTGTTCCATTTAAATTGGAACAATATCTCCGAAGCACTAATAATAAAAAAATGAATGAAATAATTTTTTTTTTTAGTAAACTTAATTCATTGAAGTTTTTCATTAGGAAAAACATTTTCTTATTCATTATTTCGGTGAAACGTTTAATTTTTGTCGGAAGATTTCCTTATTTCATGTTTTTATTGTAACAATTGTTGCATATTCATCATATATAACAAAGTCATTCAGACTGGTAGCAAATGGAGA